AACATATATACTTTTTATTTACGAATTCTATTAAAAATTGTATTTGTCAGTATAGGCAGAAATACTCCTTTAATACCAAAACAAATTGGCGCTGCTGTCGCGCACGGAGCGAATAGGGACCGTGCGTGAAATATAGAAGCAGCACTACTGCCGAAGTTAGCCCTCTCTAGTGTTTAATTTTAGAATTAAATGGGGTAAACATTGCAAGTAAATAATAATGAATATTTTTTAAAATATTAAATATAGTTAAATATAGATACCGGCCCGTACCAAACAATCGGGTACTTGGTCAAAATGATATAAAATGTAAAACATTATTAAAATCTGGACATGTATATACATTTTAAGCAAAAAGATTTATATGGCTAATTGACAATAAATTGTAAAGTTGTACCTTAAACAAGTGTATCCAATGTCAAAATATCGTTATTTAGTAACACTGAATTTAAAAGTATTACAATAACATTTCAAAAATGTAAATTAATAAAAAAGATTGGGAATAATAATAATTCTTTTTAGATTTATGTTAGTCGAAATGTCATTCATCCACTGACGTTTATGAGACGCCCAACGATATACATATTATAGATAGCTCACCCATCTATAAAAAAATTACGAAAAGCGGGTTGCAATGTGCCTTTCCTAGTGCTCACTAAAATAGAGCCGTTCTAGCCCAAATGTGTTTTAATATAAAATTTCAGTATTTTAATCTTTAGAAAAAGAAAATAATTAAAGTTTTACTTCAAGACACGTTATTATGTATTTGGAAAGTTGAGTTTCCATGTAGTTAAATAATATTAAGATATCTAAACAATTTTTAAAACAGATGGATATAAATAATTTTAGACTACTCTAATTTCAGAAATTACACTACATAAAATACATAATTGCAATATGTAATACAATTTTGAAAAGGAAATGTAAACAACTTTGATATGAGATATAAACAACTTTGGTGAGAGTTGTAATTGGACACATCTATTATTCTGAATAATGTTTAATGGTAATGTCACTAAAAAAATTTACAAAAATCACTGGATTTTTAATATTTTAAAGTTTGTTGCAGTCTCTTTTGATAGTATTTGTAATGTACGTATTATTTATGATTTGTTTATTTTAGTAATAAATGAGAAATAGTTAATAAATTGTAAAGAGGGCTATGATATTTTTGTCAAATTGGACATACTTATTTCATAGTAACATTTCTACGTTAGTTTTAATCAACAGAATAAACCATTAATTATCTGTAAAATTATATTTATATAAAATGTTCATTTAAATATGTAAAAATCTTAATGACAATAAAACACTAAAGACTCTAATTTCTAAACCGGTTCTGTAAATGTTCAAGTGCTCAAAATTGATACAAAGCTAGATAAAAAAAAACTTTGCCCAGTGAAATACGCTTTTCGTCATCTGATTTACATATGGATAAGCAATCTATGTAATGTAATTATGTATATCATTGGGCGTAAGACACAATTCTGCTCTGTGAAAATTTATAAAATTTCTTTACTATTGAATGAAATCCAGGTTTCCAAAGTAATGTGTTCGTACATCCACGGATGCAACAAGTTTTTTCGATAATGATATTACGAAAATAATTCGACTTTATTTAATTAATAATTATTAAACAATAAATGCCATATAAAATATTAATAAATACCCCCCATAAAGTTCAAATTTTTTTCACCAGTTAGCGTTAAAGTCTTGACGCACGGTCCCTATACACGATCGGTCATCATAGGGATTGTCATCGCCTGCGAAATTAGTAACGTCGGCAAGCCGCGCTTGCTTCGCCCAATCCTTCCTCTGTTGGTAAGGCCGTTAATGGGACAAACGTAGCTGATTCTTATGGTGTAAGTGTAAAAAGAGCGTGCTTACTTCGATCGTTTTTTTATCTATTGGTAAGGCCGTTCGTGGGGCAGGCATAGCTGACTCTTATGGTGAAAGTGTGAAAATGGCGCGATTGCATCGATCGCTCTTTCATCCAGTGGTCAGGTCGTTGGTAAAATGAGTATAGGTATAGTATATTATGGTATAGATGTAAAAAGGGGGCACCTGCTTTGCTCGCTGCTGCCTCTAGCAGAATGAGCATAGCTGGTGTAAGTGAAAAAGGAAGCGTACAAACTAGATATCAGGTTCGACATACTGATAATGAAATTAATGTTCTTGCCCCTGAAAATTCTACTAGGCGAATAGCTAAAGAATGGGTAGTAGAAATCTCCACGATTAAAAGAATTTTAAAGAAACATAAATACCACGGGTATAAATTTCAAAAAGTCCATAAACTACACGCTGGAGACTCTGATAGAAGACTGATGTTTTGTCGTTGGTATAGTAGAAAACTGCGCAATGACCGCTCTTTCAGCAAAAAGATATTATGGACGGATGAATGCTCCTTTACTAATAGTAGAATATTTAATACCAGAAACAAGCATTTGTTTGTTACTTCTAATCCCCATTTAATCAGAGAAGTTAGACCACAGTTCCGTGTTACCTAAAATGTGTGGTGTACACTAATCAATAATCAGATTATTGGGCCGATTTTTTTGGATGGTAATTTAAATCAGTTCCGATACCTACATTTATTGGAGGAAGTACTCGATGAGATGCCCTTACAAACAAGACAAAATCTTCAATACTTTATGCAAGATGGTTGTGGTGCACACAATGCTAGGAAAGTTGCAGAGTATCTCGATCAATATTAAAGAGGTAATTGGATTGGTACCAATGGACCAATTAGATGGCCTCCTCGATCTCCGTGTCTTAACGCCATAGATTATTTTGTATGGGGCTTTGTAAAGGACCAATTCTACGACAAAAATATTCCAAATAATCTACAAGAACTTCGTCAACGAATAGTAGATGCATTTGAAAAAATTACACCAGAAATGGTTGATAAAAATGTCTAGGAGAATTGCACTCTGTATTTAACAGAATGGACTACATTTTAAGCAACTATTGTGACTGTTTTTGTTTTTGAATTTTGTTTTTGTTATTAGCTTTATTATTTGTAGAATGTGTACAACCATAATTCGTTCTTCATTAGTCTTGTTTGCTGGTTGTAATTAATCATGTTTGATAAAAAATTGTAACCCATTTTGTAATTAAATAATTCTTGTATTATGTTTCAAATAATATTTAAAATTTCACATTTTAAACATTTATTGTTTTTAATTATTATTTAATTAACTATCTTGTTTTAATCAAGTAAGAAACGGTATCATCAGAAGTTACATAGCTGATGATATTTTCATAGACGAAACGTAGTAAAATGGTAAAGTATAACATATCGTTGTATTTAGCTATACAAAAGCTATAAAAAATTACAGTTAAAAATCCAGGTCATTATTTAAAAAAATAAGTTGAAGGTGGCCCTGCAAATACGAAACGTCGAAATAAAAATTTTAACATGGCAAATTATAGGGAACTTGATTTATAACAAAAACTTTGTATAATTTTTTTTTTGTATCTTTTATAATAACAACGCACGACTTAAAAAACGAAAATGAGGTTTTTCGGATTTTATCGAATATCTCCGGAACCAGTCAGAAAATCTGGAACTTCTATGGACCATTGTATTATCCGTCAAAATACAAAACTTTTTCCCCATTTAACCGACAATGTATATCTTACGGAAGAAATTTTAATAGCATAAAAGCTTGATTTTAAGCAACGGTTTATAAATAGTATTAAGATAAAAAATAATTTTTACCTGTTCAAAGTCAGATTACTCAATACAATATCAAAAGAAAATTACTTAAGTAATTATAAATTCTACAATTAAAATGATACATACGTTTTCATTAAGATCTTATATTTTGATAAATCAACTGTTGCCTTAATAGAACAATATATAGGTTTATTTACAATTATACATATTAAAGAATACAAAAATCCTTAAATAAGTATATACCTTTTTTAATTCTTTATTTTTTACTCATATTAGGAATGTCTCACATATGGTTAGTGGGTGGATACATAATATGCTATCAAAGTAAACAAGTGTAGAAAATGTGAATATAAGGGTTGTCAGAATTCGCACTATGTAGGGGGTGCAAACAAGAAGATGAGACCATCGACCATATCCTCTACGATTGCTCGACGCTCTCATTTATTAGAAGGTTTGTGTTAGGCGAGTATCGGTTAATACCGGCCGATATAAAAGAAGCACCTCTTGGAGACGTTGTCAACTACATTAAATCTGTATGCTGGCTCACGAGCAAGGAGGTGCCTAACATCTTAGGAGGATGTACAATGGGCCCAGTGAAGCCTAAGTTCTGTGGGGGTTAACCCACTTTACATACGTTACAGATACAGATAGTAGGTTACTTATTAAATTTTGAATAAATAAATTGTCAGTTTCACGATTTCATTTTTATAATAAAATATTTTTAATTAAAAAAGGCGTTTAGTTATATTTTCAAATAAAAATGATTGCATAATTTCAGAATACTTCTGAAACATAAAATCGATATTCAATGAAGGCGTAAAAAACGCTAATGAAAAACGTAACTGCCATATTACATCTTTCAAATTTCGTATTTTATGTATCTCTTTTATCCATGAAGCTACGGTTTCCTGAAATGTTCTTTCCTTTCGTTCTTACTCAATTTCTTTGAAAAATTATTTAATCAATCTCAAGAATATCGCAGATAAAAAATCAATGAGCAAATTTGTGCAAAAATGTGTAAAATGTAGCAAGTTATGCTGCATTAACAGTAATAATTTACTTGTCGAAATTTATAACGACAACACTGAGTTAATTTTTGAACAATATAAAATAGGAGGGTGGTTTAAAAAGCTCTTGGTCCTTTGTTAAACAGTTCTCCAAAACCATTGTACGATGTTGTATATAAAACATGAAAGTAACTCAAAATCTCCTAGAAAAAAACATCCAATTTTATATTATGTAACAATAGCTACAAGTGTTTTAAAAATAAATTTTATTCTTTTATAACGATTTAACGCCATTTAATTCAAACTTTCTTTTCCAGTAATCCCAACGTCCCTAGAAAAGAGCGTTTCAACAGTATGAGCCCCGCCTACTGGGCCCAATTCGACGTGGAATGGCCGGAATTTGATCTCAAAGATGAAAGATACTTGGAATTAGGTAAGAAAAAGTTAAATTGATTTTACATATTGGTGTAGCATTTTCTTCGATAAGAAGATAAGAACCACTCCATTTTTAATTTGACATTGAAAGTTTAGTGAACAGAAAGTGGTAATTATCTGCGAGTTATTATCTGGATTGGCAAAATATTATAGTATGTTGGCGGTTTTTGTGAAGTTAATTGTTAATTGCATACATATTAATTAGAGGAGATAGGAAAATTTAAGAGGCTCACGTACATGTGCATTTGTTGTAGTGTTTTGACAGAAGTATAATTTATGTAAATTTGTCTTGGTTGTACAAAATTCGCTAATTTAGTGAATTTAAAAGAATTCTATGAGTTTTTTATAGACAGTTAATAAAATGGCAAATAATTGCTTTGTTCTTGGTTGTTTTAACAACGAGGATTCAGAAAACATTAAATTCCACAAGTAAGACATATTTCCTACCAGAACCGTATCATTTTTAATCACATTTTTTCAGGCTATATTTTCCAGAAAACGAAATATCGTAGTACAATAACAAACTATATGTAGAAATGTTTATTGGTTAATACTTTTGGAATAACGCTATTTGTTTCTCCTATTTTCATAAAGATGATTTAATCGTTTTAAAACGAAAAGTTACAATAAAAAATAAAGCAATACCTTCTATAAATCTGCCTAAAGTTGCAGATTTTTAAAGCATTACTGTTATGCGGTAAATATCCATAAAATTATCAATTGAGGAGTTTGCTGCAAGAAGGATGCAGCTCCTTTTTTGTGACATTTTGAGTTGAAATATACGTTATATGCAAAAAAATTGGCCTATCGACTGGTACAAAAACGATGCAGATCCGGTAATAAATGAAGAAATTATCCGCACTTATGTATCTGCCTCCTCAGTTGTTTGACGCAAGAAGGGTGCAGCTCCGGAGCTGCATCTTTTTTGTACCAAACGATCGTGTGTGTTCGTTGGGTTTCGTGAAATGCAAGGTCATTTGCTGTCTGCATTGCGGCAACGACTGATTTGTTTCTAACTATTGTTAGTCGCATAAGTGCTTTCCATGCGTTGTTATTGTTATTGTAATCTGTTTTTCACGTAGTTTTGTTTTGCGTTGCCGCTTTTTAAAAATGAGTGAAACTGAGTCGGAGCCATTTGGTGCTAGTGACTCACCATATTATGAGCCTTCAAGCTGTGACGAAAGTTCTGATATTGATGTGGCAGGACCTTCTTTTAGAAGGAAGCGTCTAAACAAAAAACGTATCTCTGAACAATCCACTGAATCGGTAGACAACAATTTGCCCACGGAGGAGCCTACTGTTCCTGCACCAAAAAATAGAAAAATGGCAAATCCTGTTGCCTGGAAAAGAAATATTAATAAAAAATCTGCTGCAGAAGGAAAAATGTATACGAACTATAAAGGGGTACAGAAGAGACCGAGATTAACTGGATCAAACTTTAACTGTAGGTACAAGTGTTTTCAGAGTGTGGATGAAGAAACAAGAAACGCTGTCCTAGAAAAGTTTAACAAAATAGGCGACAAAAATTTGCAAAATACCTATTTGGGAGGATTGATTCAAACTGCTGCCATTCAAAGAACTCGTAAAAAAACTAATCAAAGACAAGGGCGTACTTGTTCTCACAAGTATTTTGTTAGACTGGGCCACCTATCAGTACGAGTTTGTAGACATGCTTTTGGTTCAATATCAAGGAAACGTGTAGACCTCACTGCTCAAAGTTTTCGTGGCAGAAATATCACAGCACCAACTAGTAACAAGGGAAAACCCGAAAATAGACCTAACCGGTAATCAAAGGATATACTGCAAAATGTGACCATGCATATCAAGAGTTTTCCAAGACGCGAGTCGCATTACAGTAGAAACAAGTCTCGTCGATTATATTTGTCTCCAGATCTAAGTATAAAAAGAATGCATGAGCTAGCTCTATTTGGAACTTTATGAACCGGAAAGTACCAGTGACCCTTTATATAAAACCAAAGTGCCCTATGTCTTTTATTATCGATATTTCAAGGAAAACTACAACTACAGTTTTGGCTCACCTCGCTCTGATACGTGCAAAAAATGTGACATCTTGCATAAAAAACTTAAAGATGTGACCCTCGACGAAAACGAAATAAAAGAATTAGAAGCGGGAAAGTAGACTCATGAAATTAAGGCCGATTTCTTTTTTAAGGAGCTGAATAAGAAAAGTAACTTGGGCAAAGAGAACGATGAAGTTGAAGTTGACATTTGACTTCGAGCAAAACCTTCCCCTTCCAAAAGTTCCTGCTGGGGAAGCTTTTTACAAACGCCAGTTGTGGACATATAATTTCTGCGTTCATTCTGTCAAGACGAATCAAGCACACTTTTATATGTACGATGAAACGACAGCTCGAAAGTCGCCAAACGAGGTGGTGTCATTTTTGTACCATTACATAAATAATATACTCCCAAAAAATGTCAAAGTTTTATATCTCTTCTCTGATAATGCTGCTGCTCAAAACAAAAACTCTGTAATGACTCAGTTTTTGTATTTGCTCGTAAGAACTACGTCTATTGACAAGATTGAATATCGTTTTCTGAGCCGGGTCACAGCTTTCTACCATGTGATCGGTGCTTCGGAGTTATTGAGAAGTTTTTGAGGAAGAAGGACTACGTTTTCAGCCCTAAACAATACGCAGATTTTATCAAGCAATCATCCAAAAAGTTCATCCCTATTCTGGTAAAACAAAATATGATCCTGAACTTCAGTGGTCACTATGAAGGACATTTTAAAAAAGTGATCTTAAATGAGGACAGGCAAAGGTTCCAGATTTCAAAATACCGCATTTTTGAATACAGCAAGCAACACTTGGATGGTATCAAAGTTAGCATATCTACTGGCCTTCCGATTTTTCTGTTGAGAGACCTTGAAATCGATCTCTCAGTTTCTTCTGATATCCCAGTGTATGACCATCTCATAGCTGTCAAAAAGGCCAAGTATCAGGATGTAATGCAATTGGCAACACGATTCGTTCCAATGGACCAAATGGCTTTCTACAACTGCCTCAGAAGTGAAGCTGTAGCGGAGAACCAGGGACCCGAAACATCTGAAACGGATGATGATGACCAGGTAGATGAATGAAGTGTAGGTTCGCGAGAGTTTATTATTTCGATTTTTTTCGAATGTTGATTTTTTTTATATACCAACCTGCGTATTTTTATTGTTTTTTATATTTTTTTGTATTTGGTGACCTATATTCTTTTGACTTTTCTTACTTAATAAAGGCTTTTCACTAGGTATTTTGTTTTTTTTTGCCAAAGACTCTAGTAAGTACGCATTTTTTCAAGTGTTTGGTGGAAGAAAGATGCAGCTTCAGCTTTTGTTTCTAATTTTTCCAAAAATTATAAGGTTTAAAATAGTTTCAAATATTGACTAAACCTCGATATTATTGATTGGCACTTCGTTTTTCAGTATAAAATAAAAACTTTAAAAGAACAACAGTTTTTTTCAATTTCCCAACAATTACCAAAAATGGAGCTGCATCCTTCTTGCAGCAAACTCCTCAATTTATTTATTTTTATTATTTTGATAATTATTATATAAAATCTTATATTATATTTCACAGACAGCAAGTTTACGTTAAATGATTGGAGACAGACATAAATGAAGTTTGGTACACTTAAACCATTTTAGAAATTTTATTGGCACTTCAGTTCACTATAAAATTGCTCATTTAAATTCAATAAAAAATAAACTATTTAATTATTTTAGGTCAATTTTGCAATACAAATATTAAGTTACATTACTATTAAATGTATAAGGACATTTGACAAACTGTGTGATTTGCTAAATTCTCGAAATTCCTTTATATTACATATAGTATGAGAGACCACTGCAAATTTCGACCGTCATCTGATAACGAAATGAAATATGCTCCAAAGGCATGTAACAATATTGTACTTTACCAAATTGCACCTGTGCCAATCCCTATCCTGAGCAAAGTGGCTAAAAAAAATTATTTTGTATTCAAAAAATCACATAAGACATGACAGCGACAATTGTGTTTTCCCTGAAAATAACAATCCTAATTCATTGTAAACCTAGCTTTTAAACCTGAATTATTAATATGTTTACCTACCTTTTAAACCATATTTATATATAAAAGGAAGAAGTATGGCATTGTATAAACCATTTGCAGAGATAGTCAATAATAATTATAAACTCTTGTTAGACAATTATTTTAAACCATAATCATAGTAGTTTTTTGTCGTTTCTATGGCAACCTGCAAAAATGAATCACAACAATAATAGGCATACAAATAAATTTTTAAATCAGCAAACATTGATTCATATTTTTAATGATTTTTATCTAATAATCGTGGATAGATGTTTTTGTGCAATATGAAGAGGAAGAAAATGTTTCCCTTTAACGATATATATCAAGATATATTTGAATTTAATTTTCTAGAAAACTTTAAGGGTAAACAAAATTAGCGCTGTCATGCCTTATGTGATTTTTTTAATATAAAATAATTTTTTTAAGCCACTTTGCTCAGGATTGGGATTGGCACAGGTGCCATTTTGTAAAGTACAATGTTTTTCCATGCTTTTGGAGTATATTTCATTTCGTTATCAGATGACGGTAAAAATTTGCAGTGGGCTCTTGGGTTAATAGGAAAATGCCTTTATTTTAAAAAACAGAAACTTTATGGATGCCTTTATTAAAAGCTGCAATATAATATACAGGGTGATTTTTTGAAAAGGATCCACCCTCGATAACTTCGTTCTCGTCTTGATTCAGGTAAAATCCAAAAACAGGTCAATGTTTATCCTTAGGAAGACACATTTGTAGATGACAACTGATTTTGTCGGATCAACCCCATGACCCCACCAGCCCCCACCTTAAAAACCTTCAATAGCAAGGGGGGCCGAGTGACCCCTCGTTGGAAAGATTTTTGCATTTACCATACGACCATGTAAGAATTATTTCGTTTTGTACAGGGTCGTTCAAGAAAAAAGACAAATTGCAATAAATA